GTTTTCAGGCGTATCACTATTCATGTGGACCTCAGTGCACAAGATATCTTCGGGTGTTTGTGACAATGGTGATGGAAATGCCGCAAGGTCATCGGCCACCGTGGTTGGTCTGTTGTCCATTTTTGTGGGGTTGTTTGATTAATTCGCTGTAGTCCCAGCATTGTTCGAATCCTGAATCGTTGCCACCGTGATTAATGCCTCCGTGTTGTTCGAGTTGTTTCCAATGGGGATAGCGTTTCCGTATTTCTCCGCTAGTGTACTTTTTCTCGTTCTCGTTGAACGCCAGATTTCAGGTGAGTGTGGTTCCTGTGTGGCTTTGAGGTCAATTCTTTTGGTGGCAGGTTGTTTATCCGGGGATGGGGTTTTGTGGTTCAGATCGGTATCCGACGATAGTGAGTTTGAGGTGTCGCATTTGAACTGGATCTTTGTGAGATCGACTTTTGATTTTTTTTGAGGGCTCATTTTACCCTGCGGTAGTGTTTTTGGGAGACGTTGTGTGGACGGTTCGCTTTTGTTACGTCTGTCCCGGGCGTTCAGTTTTCCTTTAGCTGTAAAAGGTTTCAACCGTTTTTGGGGTCCAAGAGCTCTTCGATTCAACGTCTGTTGAATAATTTCTTGCGTTGTTTTTGGTGGTGGTCTCTTCGGACTTGTTACTGCTTTTTCTCCTTGTGTCTCGTTGATAGGTGTCTTTTTACCTGAAACATGCGGTTTGGCTCTTGGTAGGTGTTTATAGGCCACGAAGTCCTTTAGTGCCACTGGTCTACATTTTCCATAGACGCTTGGGTCTGATATGAACGCGAGACCATCATGCCTAAATACTCTAGGTTGTTTGCCATCCTCCCTTATCCACGCAGTATGCAGAGAGTAATTTTTTATTGCACCATTTTCAATAATTTTGAATTGTGCCCCAAATGTCCCCGGATTTTTAGTTTTCCTGGCGATAGTTCCCGTTTTTCTAGCGATTTGTTCGAGGCGGAGTCCTGTTTAGAATCTATCGTATGGACTGGACCTTTTCACGTGCAGGCTCGAAAAAACAGCCCAAAAAAGGAAGTTTTAGGCACTTTTTGGAAAACTTTGACCAAAAGTCGCGTTTTTTTTGGCGCGCGTTCCCCCCCTCAAAAAGTTTTTAAAAATTTTAAGGAACCTCACCAAAAATAAACATCTCAAAATAGTACAAAGGAGGGACCCTTTGCGTCGGTAGGGGGTCGGATCCCTAAAGAAAAGCTTCCCTAAAGATCGACATCTAAAATTTTTGTTTATCTTCCTCTCAGAACTGTTTTTTTTAAGTTGGATGCAATTTTTGTGGCGAATATAAGCTAAATGAGAAGGGGTCTGCCCTTTGTTACTTTCTTACGGAAACCATTTTACCACTCCTGTTATACCCTCGACCGTTAGGTGAGGTATAATCTATGTTGGTTCTGTGTTAGTGTGAACTACGCTGTGTGTTGGATGAGAATTAAACGAATAAAAGAACAACTTAATTTCAACGTTCTATGTTTAAGTCTGGCTGACACTGACCTCGAATCATTTGAGAGACAGTGCCTTATAAGTACTAGTACATATGTGATTACGTATAAATAGGTACTTATTTAATCATCAGACTTCTATAGGTTAATTAATTTACTCTAAGTCTATGACATGCTAATGTTACCAACTGGTTATGTTAGCACCTGAACTGGTTTGATCAATACTGGATGTTTTGCTATAATATCCGTACGGATAACAACTTCTAAAGATTTTCTAGAGACGCTTTTGGTGCCAAAACCAGGGAAAAAATTGTTAGGAACAGCGGATTACGTTTATTAGCGAGTTCTTGCTGTTTGACTTATTTTTGGTTTTAATTTAATTGATTGCAGCAACTACTGTGGTCGGAAAATAAAACTACATGCACAGTGATCAAATAATCTTGTTTCTCGATTTCTTTTGTTTTTGGGTGGAGAATTAGTAGAAAATATGTTAACAATTTTCGATAATTCTCAAATAGGTGATTTCATTTTTTGAAAGATTAGAGATATACGGCTTAAGAATTTTAAGAAGACTGATCGTTTGTTTTTGATGATCCCGCTAGATACAGCTGGTGTAAGAAAAACATTTGCTAATGCTTGGTAAAATTCAGTGGTCTTGAAACAAACAAAAACATCATTAACATAGAAGCGAGCTTTGCAAACACAAGCAAATATACGGCAACAAATACTCGAAAAGGGCAAAAACGAGAAATGAGGGAAAAATCAACAATAACAATTTTAAAACCATTTAAATGCCCATGCTATGCAGCAGAAGTGCCACCAAATGAGCACGTTTAATTGCAATTTGGCTTAGAAAAAATTGAATTTGGGCACTTTTCCACTTCATCTCCACCCCCACCTTATTTGATTTCAAGTTTAAAAAACTATATTTATGCTGTCAAAATGTAAAGAAGTTTTGCATGGTAAACATACAAACTATTGAGAACAGATTTTTTTGTATACTTTACACCGTTATATTAAGCATTAGTTACACAAAAAAAACAGCTATAAATACAGAGGCAAAGCTGAGCTTCGCGCCACTTGCGATGATACACAATACTCGAAAAAAAATAATCGAAAAAATTAAGAAAACTAGATCTACTCTGGTAACCAAAATAAAAATAAAATCGAATGTAAAAAATTACCATCGGAAAACTTAACAGTCCGGTTAAAAAATGCCTGAGGAGACACCCTAAAAGCCAAAAAATTCATAACTATAAAAAAATTCACTAGCTGATTAAAAATATGCCTAAACCTATTAAACCGAGAAAAAAAAAAGGAAAAAAAATAGAAATGAAGTTTAAACAAAGTGAGTTGGTAAAATTACAACCAACATAAAAAACTTATATCAAAAAACCGTATATTTGAAATGCTAACATGCTCAAAATATTATCTGTGTTGCAACGGAAAGGCCTAGTGGATGAATGAGTCCAAGATCCAAGAGATGAGGTGTGTGCCTAACATTATTTACGGGAAAAAAGTCTAGTATCCGATTGCAATACCCTTGCTTATCGCAAAGGCAATTAGAAAATTGGAAATGTGGGGTAGGGTGTTAATTAACGAGACTGGTTCGTAATAAAACACTAAAATCAATTTTGGAAGATAGTTGACTTTTTCAGCCACTCAAAATCCATCATTTTACATGTTGAATTTAGTTGAAATTTCCGTTCAATTTGAAGAGTGGGGGTTATCGTTAACTTTGTCAGTATGGGAAATTCTTCGAATGATCCGAGCTGCAAGTAATTCTGACCAAAAACAAAAACTTTTGCCATAAGAACGGGACTACATCTATGAGAGTAGTCCACAATTTTAAATTATTCCTGGCAGGGGCGGATCTAGGATTTTCTCGAGGGGTGGGGGGGGGGGGGGGGGGGGGCGGATATTTTTTTTTAGGTCAAACAAATTGATTTTTGGAGCTCTCCTAAGGCACTGTTTTGCCCCTATTTTGGCATGGCAAAATTTTCTGCGCCGCAGGAAAATTTTTGAAAAAACAGTCAAAAAGCCGTTTTTGGGCACTTTTTGAAAAATTTTGACAAAAAAATCGCGTTTTTTTTGGCGCGCGCTCCCCCTCAAAGTTAATATATATTGGCGCCTAAGGCGCCTTTAGAAAAATTTTAGGGTCGGTCTCCCAAAAATGGATTTCTGAAAAAGTATCAAAGGGGGACCCTTTGCGTCGGCAGGGGGTCGAAATCCGCCCCTGATTCCTGGCAAAGTTTATTGACAACATAATGTTCAAAAACAGCATGGTCATTTGTTTGTTGTTCCAACTTTAGGGGACAATGATGAGTATATATGCTTGGTATATGAGTATATTTTTTTATTCCGAGTAGTTTTACAAATGAAGTTGACAGCCTGCCGGATATTGAGACAAATTAATTTGTTATATCAATTCGACTCAACTTTAACACTTCATATTTGATATTGGCAGTCCAAAAATTTTAGTTTATAGTCCTCGGTTTAAAGGCGAAACCCATGTTTTTTCGCAGTCATAGTTTTTTTCGCATAGGAACCCAAGGGTCTTTTCTGCTTTTACGAAAACTATCAAATTGTCAGAATTTCAGTTGTATTGGATATCAACCAATCAGATTTGAGCATTTCGACCCAATTTTCAAAATATGAACAAATCAGGGATCTAATTAACAATCGCCCTCCCTTTGGTATCTTCTTAAGAATTGCCACCCCAATTAATAAAAGCTGTAACTAGCACTAGAGCTTTTTATTTATAATTCGAATTTTGCTGCAATCTGATTGCTCGAAAATGCGTGTTTTAATCTACTTAACAATTGCCCCCCCCCCTTTTTTTTAAAAAAAAGGGGGGGGGCAATTGTTAAGTTGATCCCAAATCAGTTTTGGGCTGTATAACAGAAAAGACCCGAACCCACCAATATAGTACCAAAGACGCAAAATGACAGTAGAAATATGAAAACTTTGCGGTGATCTGAAAGATTCTACGATTTAATTAATTACTTTTAGCAAGTAGATAATTCATGATATTGTACGACAACATTAAAATTTTGAACAGAATAAACGGTGACCATGTCAATGGTTGTTTTTACACGTGGGTAGAAAAAACGTCTGACAAGTGTTCATGAGGTCTTCAATTGTCCTATTGGTCATAAAGATATCATATCATCATGATGTTTATCTCTAAAACATCTAGGCGCCAGTTTATATCTATGGCGTGGCGATAATCGTCGAACGGAGTCACTTTATAATTGATAATCTCCCTCCCACGGTGAAGCCGAAGTCTTTAAATCCTCTCCTGCTGAGATCTTGTTTTCTGAAAATGTTGCGCTGCTATTTGCTTTTCTGGTCCTCAAGTGTTAATTTGTTCACTAATTACCCCGATAAAAATCATAATTTTTAGTACACAGATGCGCACATACAGGCTAAGCATACAATAAATTTAGAAAATGTTGATAATTTCTTTGAACAAGAAAACAAAAGCCAGTTAGGTAAACATCTAAACAATCTGGAGTTCAAAAAACCCATGCAAGGACTTCGAAGCTTACTGAACTCCAATTTTAAAATGTCGAAATTGAACTTTTTCGGAGCTAAACCGACGTTGGGATCCAGATTGTTGGGTGGCAGAATCCGTTCTGATGTTTTGATAACGAGTTTACTTAAGAACATTCGCTCGTTTATTTTATTCGCTCTTTCGCTTTTTTCTCGATGCGAGATTACATGAAGCGATGAGATGTTTATACTTTTGTCAAATTATCAGATAATAACAGTAGAGCTTTATTTTTACAAGCTAAAAAATGACAAGCATTCGAGAAAAGCAACAGAGCGTAGCACAGGACAGGCCGATTTTGCTCTGTTGTGGCGGTGGTGTAGGTACTCTTGTCGTTATTTAGTTGATTCGGCCGAATGAGAGGGGATCGAAGAACAGCTAGAGCAGTCTTTTTTTGATCATAATTCTGCTAGTTAGTAGTCATTTATCTGCTGAGCCAGAGAGTCGATTGTTATATTGACTCGGCCACTTTTCAATTGCATTTTAATTGTAACATGTCCAAATTAACTCGCTACAAGTAAATTACTCACTAGCTCTTGTAAGCCAATCTAAAGTCAGACTAAGTGGATCCAGAAAAGCAGCGAGCTTGTTTGTATCCTCTCACCTATTCACAACACAATCACAATAATCAACAATAATACAATTCACACAACATAACATAACACATCACATCGCGCGCGCCAGGCGAAGCCATCTCATGATACCTGGCGACCACACAACCATAAGTCCATAACAGCAGATAGACCTCATCACGGCGATACATCATCTCAGAACTCCTCATCATCACCGACTGGCTTGACCAAAGCCACACGTAAGACCATACCACAACTATCATCAAATCCAGTTATCATCATCGAAAAACAACAAGCGAAAAATAAACAATTCATTGTAAACAATTGATTTATCAACTTTCAAGTGAAGATGAAGATGACTACGAGGACACTCCTGGAATCTCGTTAAGAGTCCCGACGTCTTCAGCTAATCGCGATTCTGCATTTTTACCAAAAAATGATTAATAACAAGTGACTAAAAGTCTGCCTTTCTGTCAATCGGTGATATTCAATTTCATTGATACAGTTTGCTTGTATCAAATCAATCCAGTATCTCCAGTATTTGATCATCAATTTTTAAGTCATAAATAATAATCCACTCAGCCATGCAGATGCAACCGAATCCGAGTTCTTTGAAGACCTTACCAATGCCAAACCCTGGATTTCTTACGATAGATACGCAGCCACTGCAGCAGAACCAGATATCCAACAACTCCACACTTTTAGGTATGAAGAGCCACCTACAACCATCTAACCTCATTATCTCGAACCAGACTAAACAGGATGTCGATGAATACAACTTTGTTGCACGCCATACGTCTCAAATGCAGCAGAAACAAATGGATAGTCTCTTAATGCCAGCTCAGACAATACCAAACTCAGTAACCAGGAATCATGGATCCGGTCACCCGACGATGCAGTGCCAGGCGACGAACGATGACATCTCGGATCTGCCATCGATCAGCTCAGTCGCGAGCAACGACAGTCTTCTATCTTTATCCCTCGGCACGCCTTCAAGCTTAAGCACTGCCAATGCGCCGGCATCATTTGTTTTGGAAAATGCAGCAAGATTGAACAGTTTGATCAGAGGTGGAAGAGATCCAGCTGCCGATATGTTTCACTCGGATGACGAAACCGAGAGCGGAGATGAAGATAACGACCCGACAAATCCGCAATGCGCTAAAATAGGGAAAGATAAGCATGACAATTTAGTTACTCGAGGTCTTACCGATGATACCACAAAAACTACGAGCAGAAAGAAAAATCGAAAGAGACCTCTAGAAAAAGGAAAACCACCCTACTCTTACATCGCTTTAATAGCGCTTGCAATTGCAAACTCACCTACAGGTAAACTGACATTAAATGAGGTTTACAAGTGGATCGCTGACAACTTTGCCTTCTACAAGAGCACCCGAAAAAAGTGGCAGAATTCGATCAGACATAATCTGACCTTGAACGATTGCTTTGTGAAGGTGCCAAGGATGAATCACGGAGCTTCAGGAAAAGGTTCTTTAAATTACTTTAATTACCAAGTTAAATTATCAAATGCGTATTTAAAGGCTTAAAATAAAGGTATTAATTTGCGTAGGTGCGATCAAGCAAACCTTGTTGTGCATTTTGAGAACACGGCAAGGGAGAATATTAATAATGAAAATTATCTAGACAATTCACAAAATATAAGTGAATTGCATACAAATTTCGAACTGACTGAACCAAAAAACTGAGTTTCAGTTATTTTCCAAAAAATAGATAAGTTAAGACCTGAGAAACTTTTTGGAGGGATAATTTCCTTTCAACAAATCTTTTTTACTCATTAATCTACCAAATGGCGCAAAATGAAAAAATATATATTCAGGATAAGAAGTACTAGAACATGGTTTCTGTCAGTTAGTGGATTGACCGGTGGTTTTCTAATTCAGGTTGCTACTGGAGTTTGCATCCCCGCTGCATCGGCATGTTCGAAGACGGGAGCTACCTGAGAAGACGGAAGAGATTCAAGGCAGACGACTCAGTCCTCGGAGGCCAAGGAGGCACTTCCAGTCTCCATAAGTACATCGCCATCCGAGGAGCTATGCAGGAATCTCCGTCACAGCCATCGGACGGAAACTACAGGCCATTCTCAATAGACAACATCATTTCATCACCTGTCGCCGCTCAATTGGGGGGACCAGGAGCTATGTCAATGTTTCCAGCTCCGAGCGCCGACAAAACACGGAGCCAGGGTCCGAACGATAACAGCTCTATTGGAAACTTGATCTCGGGGTCCGGACCGTCCTCATTTAAAACCAACTCATTCTTCCCTCTCACGCCTTTTGGAACTACAAGTAATCGCGTTCCTAGTTCTCAAATCCAAGAAAACGCAATTAACCCTACTTTTTCGTATCTTCCAAACGCATCATCTCAGAACTCACGATCCAATGCCACACCTTCTTTGACTCCGCCAACAACTCAGACTTCCAATATGAGTCATAATATCCAGCAATCCTCTGTAGCTCAACTGCAACAACAGCCTGGTGCTCTTAGCCGCAGTGTCAATGAGACAAACTCAAACCCGGCAAACACGCAACCGCCACCTGCGGGTATAAGTTTCGATATATTAAGCAGTGACCATCTTGGAGGAAAACCTCCAACAATCTCTTCTTCAGCTAGTCAGCAACAACAGCAGCACCATTTTAATCTACAAACTGCCAAAGTAGCCGCCGCTCAAAACGCCCTGGCGGCGTCTCAACATGGCCAAAACCAGAACCATCACCAAGCAATGGCCAACTATCTTCAGCAACAATTGAACAAAAACAGCAGTCTCATGGGTGCAACAATGCAACAAGTTCACAGTTTAGCTTCGCCTTATCTCTACAATACCAACTCATTCACGCCTTCAGTCAGCATAAACAACAGTCTAAACTCACCTTCAGTTTACAAAATGACTGGCTACAACCCAGTTGCAGGGGCTTCATTTGGGAGCCAAGTTAATAAACTTTTCCCTCACAATCCGAGTCCGGGATCTCTGGCAAGCAGTCCATTTATACCGCCAGCATCCCCCTTATTTAATACTCAAAGATACACAAACCCGTATTCGAACCCGGGTAGCGTGGGAGGCATGAGCCCCGCAGTCGCCGCCTTTCCGCCGAATGTAACGATAAACACAAACTACCAGCTGCCTCCACCGCCAGTTCACCGCTACAACCCGGCGGCCGTCGCGGCGGCTCTGATGAACAGCCCCTCTGCTGCTGCCAATTCAGCTGCCAATCCGTACCAGCCATTAGCAGGACTTCATTACAACCCTTTTGCGTCATTTTCAACTACTAATTTTTGCCTACCGACTATATAGTTTTTACTTTATTGTTTTTCTATATCGCTTAATTTACTTTATTTCTCGCGCTTTTTCGTTTAATTTAGCATCGAGTCTTGAATGCATAAGCACTAGAGTAAATTGGCAATTAAAATATCAAATTTAAACTTGTTTTTTATTAAAAGCAATAAAAACAAGTTGTAATTTCACGAATAAAATTGATTCTATTAACAAATTGAAATACAAAGAGTACATAATAAATTCCGGTTCAAATGTTTTATGCGTACGGTGCACCTCAGTTTTATTTTTCAGCACTCCGCGGAACTTTTTTATGACATCAATTAAAGCTAACATACCAAAGAAAAACAATCAACTCGAAGTTTAACGATTGTCTACGACGATAAAAAATCGACTTTTGGATGAAGCCAAGAGAAAAATTGAAGCGTCCTTGTAAAGTGTACGACCACCTTCTTTTCTGTGAGTGCCCTTATGGGCCTTGCTCAGTTGTTACCATAAAACTATGACTAAAATCACCGTCTGGCGCTGAACAAATGTGGACTTAAATCACTGTCTGGCGCTGAACAATCGCATAACTTAACCGTAAAAATATTCAGTAAAGCTCCTCCTTCAAACAAAAGTACTCATTTGAACTGGAGCCCCCGGCAGACATCGGTGCCTTCAAGTATTTAAAGACAAGTTCTGAAAAAAATTGGAACCAGAATTGCAACTCATCTAGTAGCCGATGAACCGAAAATGGAATACAAAGTTGCTATCGGGAAAAGTGCAAAACCCCAGTACACCAAATATCGAAAAAATTGCAATGATAGGCTAATATTCGAGAATCAAAAAAACTATTGTGTTTTAATCGAAATTTGAGATACGCACTAAATTCACATAAAACCCGAGAGATTTTATAGTGATCAAAAAGAAATTTTTTGCCCAATTTTGATCAGAAATACACTAAAAATCAAGCAAGACTACTTGTACCAGGAAGAAACCCTCAATGATCCGAATGCTCTCTAAATTATCTGACGTAGTTTTTGATGTCCCTTTTATTCGTCCCTTTTTTCAGCAATTACATCAAAGTTTCTGTAGCAAGTTTACTCTACGTTTTTGTTCCGACTTTCCAATTTTTGTTCCGACCATTGAAAATGGGGAAGAACTTTGTATTCGGGTGCTTTAGTTTTTTTTCAACCTTTTTATTTTCCTTGCAAAATCAGCTACCATAAATAATCATCGGACAGGGTTGAGTGATATATCATATTAAAGCCCTTTCAGTCTTGATTCCAACGAGATTATGAAATTCAAGTGTCGAGAAAAATCGGTTGCGAAATCAATCAAACAAAATTAAATAGAAGATACGAAGAAGTAGAAGAACAACCAAAATAATTGAGAAAAATATATTGCAGCTAGGTTTAAGGGCAGTCAGAAAATCTGAGACTTGAAAATGTCAATTTTGACAAGGTTTAATTTGAAAGATTTGTTGTTTTGTATAATTGCATATACAAACGTCCAATAGAACCAAAAGCCCGATAGAACCAAGAAGGGGCTATTAAGACCGATAGAACCAAAGAAAGTGCAAAAATTTAACAAACTGACACTAAAACAAAATTGTTAACAGGCACTTAGAAACACGAAAGCAGACTCAATAAAACTCAATATATCTCTTTTTGAAATTTCATTCAGATTTTGATTTTGATAAAAAAGTACATCAACTTAAAGCTCTTTAATTTCAGAGAACTTACAAATTGGAAATCCTTTAATTAAATAAATCGAACTTCAGAAAACTGGATCGACCGTAACCAGATTTTTTCAGCTGGTAATACTACAAATTACCTCTAATTTCTAGATTTAAGAACCACACCCTTTTTTCAAGCCCTTTCTACATTTACTATTTAGACTATTGCTGTTGGCCTCCAAATCAAAAAAAAATTACAATCTTGAAACCAAAAGCTATAAAAAACTGCTATTTAAGAAAAAAACTGATTTCAAAAACTTCACAGCTGGTAGGTTTTTGATTTTGAGTCTTATCTTTAAGCCCCATAAAAAGTCTAGTGGTCTGCCGCTTTTAGTAGTGGAGAAATTTCTTGCCTTACAAACACTGAACAATTATTATACTAGTAACCATATGTCGAAAACGAAAACATTTGAGAGATTTAAAAATTGTCAATTTAAACTTATAACTTAAACAGTGGTCTGAAAACGAATAAAAAAAACCTCCTTTCCAGCAATCTAACAACGTGTTTTCGAAGCTTTTTCGTAAAAATGATTCAACCTACACACCATTCAAAAAACAAAAAAAGAGATGAGTCATTAGCTCATACAGTGGAGCATTCAAATTTTCAATTGATTCTATAACCCATTTGACGTTTATTTGGCATGCCGTGACTTTTTTCGATTTTTATTCCAATAAATAAACACATTTTAAGACAACTGGATCAAGACATCATGATAGATATAACCACTTCCCTTTCTTAACTGAAGAGCCTAATTTGCCCGCCTTTTAACAAATGATACTGAATTGAACGTGAGAAAAAAAGAAAAAACAAACCGTATAAAAATCAAAAAGATGGAAAAAGATGGAAGAGACAGTTGGAAAAGAGTCAAAGAACGCAAATAAATCAAGAAATCACTGGCTTGTGGTTTGAAAAATCTCAACTTTCAATTTTTCAAGAAAAAAAACAAAAAATCCTTTGAATTTCTAGAATTTTTATGATGATAGACAGTTTTTTTTGTATAAATTAACCCAATTCGATCAATAGGTAAATTTTTTATTACGCTGAGAAATCTAAAAATTAAATTCTATCTTTTGAATACTCAAATGAGTTTTTTGTGAGCTTTACTATTTCGCTGTTCGGAAGTGAAATTTGCCCTCTTTTTAACAAAGGAAATGAACATAATTTAAAAAGGAAATCGAAAGTCAAACAGCAAAAACTTAAAACTCCAAATTATTTCAGGTTGAAAACAATTCACGAAACGTTCACGCTCAGTTTGCAAAAATGATAATTTAACCAACTCAAGCAGCTAATAACAAAAAATGTTGAAAAATAAAATATTTGTTTCTTATGATAACTTTGAGATTTTCAGTAAAATATCCTTTTTTTTCTAATTGTAAAAAAACAACAAAAACTTGCAACACTTTACCGCAGCTTAATAACATAAACAGTTAAAGAATCGGTTTATATATTAATCAAAGTCTAAAATTGGAAAAACACGCGAAAAACTTTAAGATATAGAAATATTGAATTTTTAATATATAAACTAAAATTTCTTGCTGTTTTTCAGTTTAAAGCCACTATCCTTTAACATTATCTGAACTATCAGCTTTACTAAAAAAACCAAAAAAAAAATCACATAGTTTTCAAAACTTGTTGGATAACACACTTTTCAACAACATACCTTCTAGTAAAAGATTCATCATTTCAAACTGCAACAAGGAAAACTTATCTAGCAACAGGCAAGTCCATTGAAAATCGAAGAAGTCACGGACTAATTTTGTAGTTTGATTTAAGCAGTTGAAATCTTTGTATAGAACAACAATCTCGATGGACAAAGAATTTCGCAACTTCTTGTTTTACAATCAGTTCGCCTTCTTCCAAACAGAAGGTCATTAAATCTTCGGATTAGTATGATTTTTTACAAACATCGAAAACACAAAAAAAAATTAGAGCCTTATGTTTTTGAAATTATGACTCCTTGCATCAGTCCAGTGGCAATTAGCTACGCTAATATAAAAGTGGACTATAGTCAATCCTATCCATTTTAGTGGTTAGAAATTCGGCTAATTAAGAAAAGCATGCATTTCAAAAACTTTGCCGGAGTCTCATATTCCAAGCCATATCTTAAAAAAATACACAGAGTCGAAGTTGCACTTTGCATACACAAGCAAAAATATGACCGATAACGCTACTGGGAAAATTTGAATGAGTAAAAGTTTGAGTCTACAAAAATTCTTCAGGGGCGCAACCTAATTACGACGCAATAGCAGTAGCAGTATATGTCGAAAACGAAAACATTTGAGAGATTTAAATTGTCAATTTGAACTTATAACTTAATCAGTGGTCTAAAAACGAATAAAAGTGACCTACTTTTCAGCAATCTAACAACAAGTTTTCGAAATTTTTTCGTAAAATATGATTTAACCTACACACCAATCAAAAAAAGAGATGAATCATTAGCTCATACAGTGGAGCATTCAAACTTTCAATTGATTCTATAACCCATTTGACGTTTATTTGGCATGCCGTGACTTTTTTCGATTTTTATTCCAATAAATAAACACATTTTAAGACAACTGGATCAAGACATCATGATAGATATAACCACTTCCCTTTCTTAACTGAAGAGCCTAATTTGCCCGCCTTTTAACAAATGATACTGAATTGAACGTGAGAAAAAAAGAAAAAACAAACCGTATAAAAATCAAAAAGATGGAAAAAGATGGAAGAGACAGTTGGAAAAGAGTCAAAGAACGCAAATAAATCAAGAAATCACTGGCTTGTGGTTTGAAAAATCTCAACTTTCAAATTTTCAAGAAAAAAACAAAAAATCCTTTGAAATTCTAGAAATTTTATGATGATGGACAGTTTTTTTTGTATAAATTAACCCAATTCGGTCAATAGGTAAACTTTTTATTACGCTGAGAAATCTAAAAATTAAATTCTATTTTAAAAAAAATCAAATGAGTTTTTTGTGAACTTTACTATTTCGCTGTTCGGAAGTGAAATTTGCCCTCTTTTTAACAAAGGAAATGAACAGAATTTAAAAAAGAAATCGAAAGTCAAACAGCAAAAACATAAAACTCCAAATTATTTCAGGTTGAAAACAATTCCCAAAACGTTCACACTCAGTTTGCAAATATCATAACTTTAACCAACTCATGCTTCCAATAACAAAAACTTTGAAAAAAAAATATTTAGTTTTAATCACATTTTTGATTTTTTCTCTAAAACATTTTTTTTCTTTGAAAAAAATGAAAACAACAAAAACCGCAGCTTACTAGCATAAACAGTTATAGAATCGGTTTATTGTTAACCTAAGTCTAACATCCCAAAAACACGCGAAAAATTTCAAGATATAGAA